TGTTGTTGAACTCCCTCTAGTTCTCCTGGTGCTTCTGAAGCTGCCAAATACACTTTTGACAGTATTGTGTATTGTATGGTTAAGAGTGAGGGCTTGGATATGAGCTAACAGTCCTTTGACTGCAGACAGCCTGTGAAACTGAGGGGGAAATGCTGCTGGATCCTGAGTGAGTGTCTGTCAAATATCCAACCTAAAACTAACTTCACTGCTGTGCCACAAAACATTACTCAGGTAAAAATCTAAAAACTTTCAGAAAAGAAAACGGAAACACTCTACCACACCATGTGGCTCATCACTACCACAAATACACCTGGATTGTACACCACGATTTGGAGCTCCAAGCAAGTTTAGGATATTGCAGAAAGGCGATGCCTTAAACCAGGGGTGTCCAAACTACGGTCCAGGGGCCAAATGCGGCCTGCTGACCATTTTGAATAGGCCCTCAGCAAATTAAAAAAGTATAATGAAATATGGCCCACAAATTAAACATCTGCTATTGTACTTCTTAAATATATATGTTCCCTTGAAATAAATGCTTAATATTTCCTCTTATCGTAAGCAACCTGAGCCTCCTGTTTTAAGAAATTAGCTGCTAACTCAATATATGAAACCCCTACGGAGAGCTGTGTGTGTTGTGTTCTTACTTCTTTTCATCAATGTCAACCACAATTTACCTACATTTGATTGATTTTTCTAACTTCTAACTTATGAGGCAATATACCTCCAGTGAGAGGCCCAGCCCTTCCTATATTTTTCTGTATGTGGCCCACGGTGAAAAGAGTGTGGACACCTCTGCCATAACCCAACCCCTGTTACCTCATTACCCGGAAGTAAGGCAGGCCCTGATGGAGGGAAGTTTTAAAGATCCCATGTCATGCTTTTCCGGTTATTACCCGTCCCCTATACCTGTCTATGCTGCCCCAGAACGCCTCGTTGGAGATTTTTCTTTTTCCATTTTTTTCAGGCACACACCTTATCTTTTCTCAGCATCGGCTCCGTGGATCTCCACTCACAGTTCGCCACACACTCACGTGTGTGTGCTCAGGCTGAGTTCCTCGCTGTCTCGCTGTCTCGCTGTCTCGCTGTCTCGCTGTCTTGCAGTCTCGCAGCAACCAGGAAATGACACCAGTAATCCAGCTCACACTGTCCGCTCCTCGAGCGGAGCAGCGAGCCCCACAACGTCCCGCCAACACGGCACCCAGACCCCACGCAGCATTGTCATCTGTTTGTCATTACTGGTGTCCTTTTCTGGTTGCTAACAAACCCTATTGTAACACATCAACACACATCAGAGCACAGTGGGCTCATAGGGAGGGGGGGGGGGGGGGGGGGCAGGAGCATGTAGGACAGAGAGTGAATACACATACTATACAGAGATGCTGTATGAGAAAACCAATGTGATTTTGGAACATTGAACAATGTAAATCTATTCTAGTAGACCTCAACAATGGAATTATGATCAGTAGAAATGGCCATGACATGGGACCTTTAAATGATCCACACGTTTCGATGTGAACAGCCCTGCGTAATTGTTTCTCGGTAATGCACAACATTAATCCATTTAGTTATTGTAGATGCAACAGACAGTTGCTTTAAGTGGCTGTTAAGGGAGTCACCAGTTAAGCAAAGACCGTCTGTGTGGTAAAGGGGTTAAAGAGATTCCAGAAAAGTTGTATTGGTGTTTTTGCCTAATTCAGTAATCTAAACATTGTGGAAATGCACTGAGCTGTAGACTGGCTCTGAACAGGTGGGTAGTACACCAGGCGAGACGCATTTAATCTTGGCATTCAGATGAGTGCTCTTCTACATTGACATCGCGTCCCACTGCAGGGCACGGCGAGTCCCGATACTGGCGAGGAAATAACCTCAGTAAGCCCCGAAAGACCACTGGACAAACAAGATAAGATCCTCTAGGCAGCGTAAAAGCAGTGTAAATTCGGCCTACAGTAAATGCGCCTGGAGTTGTACAGATAACACTGATACCACGGAGAATGTGTGCCGTTTTTATGATATTTTCTGCAGTATTATTTTGCTTTGGCCAGTATAATGTTGTTGGACACTTTTAGCTGATGGGAGAGACAGTCAACATGGAGATGTTTATCCATTAATTGACAATACTTTTCAAACTTAAACCACAACAAAATAATACACCGACATACTCTTGATATTATTTTTTTAAATGGAGATTTAGAAAACTAAAAAATGATTTCCACTGGGGTTTACTCTGATCAGCAGGGGAGGGGGGCAGCGCTGTCCTCGCTAAGAGAGTAATAAGAGCAGCTCTAGTGGTGGGTATACGGATCATACCTGGAATACTGCCGCATGTCATTTTGAAAGGAAGAGGACTAAAGCAACAGCTGCTGTGACTGCAGTAGAAATACACTCAGTTAAATCACTGTCAGCTCCACTTCCACTTCTAATTGCAGGTAAGCTATATTTTTTATCTGCCTCTAATACTGGTTACATTTAGATTTGTTCCTTTTTTTCCTTCTCTTTATTGGAAATAATTAGGCGAGGCAAGGGGGCTTAACCGTGAGAAAATGAAAGAGAAGGTTAGAAGTTCAGCAAATATGTGCACTTCAGCCTAAAAAGCGTATTTTTTCCTCACCTGTGCTGCATGTATTTTCTGAAACCTACGTTTATTATCCTTTAGAAGATACTTTGTTTTTCTACTTTTATGCATGAAAACAACAGGCATTTGTGTTGTGTTTGCATTGGAAAAATCTACTATCTCAAAGATTAACAGATGAAAATTAAAACATAATAAAAGCTATAAAAGGGGGACAAGGTACTCGATGGTGACGACTGAATCAAGGTTAAATGCTGAGTCAAGGTTATGTATTTAGAGGAAGTGCCATTATTCTCATGTTTTTGTGATCACTTTTCATGTTTTTAAATATAATGGAAGCTAAAAATGAATGTTTGGTCATTTTTTCCCCGTTAAAGTGGCATGTGACAGAACTGTTTTAATAATGCATAACCATGGTACATGTGCCATTAAGCAGGCTGACAGCACATGCACCTTTATAGCGTGTTTCAAATACCAGCATAGAAAATAATTCCTTATTTTTGTTGTTGTTGAAGTTCCAGTTGGAGATGCAGATGGAGAAGAAAGACACCATGTTGGAGTAGCTGGTTTATTGCCTTTAGTTTGTGCCTCGCGTCAGTCCGACTCCGGTGGTAATTATGTTCCACCAGCTGAAGGATCCAGCTGTGAATGGCAGCTGCCTCGAACCCTCGTCAGCCTGCAACACGAGCGCTGATGGTCACGCACTCCAGCTGCCCACTTTCACCACCGCGGCCAAAGTCAGAGTAATCATCACTTTCACTTTGTGCGCAGTGTCAGCTGTGTGCAACTTGGTCGTGCTGTGGGCTTCCTTTAACGGAGGCAAGCGCAAGTCGCACGTCAGGATCCTGATAATGAACCTGACGGTGGCGGACCTGCTGGTGACTTTCATCGTGATGCCTGTGGACGCGGTGTGGAACATCACTGTGCAGTGGCAGGCGGGAGATTTCCTCTGCAGGCTGCTGATGTTCATGAAACTGGTGGCGATGTACTCCTGCGCCTTTGTAACTGTTGTCATTAGCTTGGATAGACAGTCTGCCATTCTCAATCCTTTGGGCATCAGTGAGGCGAAAAGGAAAAGCAAAATCATGTTGACTGTGGCCTGGACGATGAGTGTAATCCTCTCGCTCCCTCAGGTAAGAATAACACATAAAGCACACAGGAAACATGGAAAACACACACCCACAAAAAACCCTCTACAAACTGCACTCATATGAAGCTTAGTTGTGTTGTACACTTCAAAAAGCTTATATAAACACTGCCAATTGTATATCCTCCAGGAATCCATCTTGTTAGTTTGCTGAAAATCAAGGTGAAGGTTAATTCAATAATTGGTTATGTCTACAGGAAACATGATGAAACGAGGGGTTATGTATGGTAACCCTTGTTATATAAGCACAGACGGAGCCCTCTACTGGACTCTATGGGTACTACCCCTTGATCATATAATGCAAGCATTCATCCACTGAGACTTCCATAAACGTAGCCGGCCCCGGGGCGGGCCTACCTGAATGCGCGTGCATCTCACCGTATAAAAGGAGGCCTCGCCTCCTGACTGTCATCCTACACCTCTCTTCAGCGAGCGGCATAGGACAGACAGTGCCCCGAGTAGAGGGCTCCGCCTGTGCTTATATAACAAGGGTTACCATACGTAACCCCTCGTTATATCTCTCACAGGCCCTCTACTGGACTCTATGGGTACAGTGGGCGGAGCCCCGATGTATACACGCGCTGTCGTCCAACAACACCGTTCCATCCCACTGCCCCTGACCGGCTTTCTGGTTAGCAGCCGCTGCACCGCACCCTCCTTTACCTCGGTTTGTGACCGTGGAGAAGTCTGGGCCGCGGCTGACAGAGCACACTCCGACACGCTTACCTCGCGAAAAGTGTGCTCGGAAAACAGTGCTGAGGGCTCCCCCCCTCCGCCCATATAGGCAGACGGAGAGAGCCCCCAGCCCCGTATGGGCTCACTGTGCACCACCTCTCCCGAGTCCCCAAGGAGCACGGGGAGAGTGCTCAGGAGAGAGAAATGCCCCATGTCCCCCACACTCAGATACTGACCCCGTGCAGAGTGTGTGTGGACTATAGTGTGGAGGGCTCTCCCCTCCTACCCTTAGGCAGGCGAGGAGAGCCCTCCAGCCCTGTATGGGCCCAGCGCGCACTACGTCCCCCGGGACCCTCCAGGGCGGCTTACTGGCCTCGGTGGCAGCGGTGGGGGGAGCGGTAGGCCCACACGCTCCGTCGCCAGGGTCATCACCGCCGGCTGACAGCACATGCACCTTTATAGCGTGTTTCAAATACCAGCATAGAAAATAATTCCTTATTTTTGTTGTTGTTGAAGTTCCAGTTGGAGATGCAGATGGAGAAGAAAGACACCATGTTGGAGTAGCTGGTTTATTGCCTTTAGTTTGTGCCTCGCGTCAGTCCGACTCCGGTGGTAATTATGTTCCACCAGCTGAAGGATCCAGCTGTGAATGGCAGCTGCCTCGAACCCTCGTCAGCCTGCAACACGAGCGCTGATGGTCACGCACTCCAGCTGCCCACTTTCACCACCGCGGCCAAAGTCAGAGTAATCATCACTTTCACTTTGTGCGCAGTGTCAGCTGTGTGCAACTTGGTCGTGCTGTGGGCTTCCTTTAACGGAGGCAAGCGCAAGTCGCACGTCAGGATCCTGATAATGAACCTGACGGTGGCGGACCTGCTGGTGACTTTCATCGTGATGCCTGTGGACGCGGTGTGGAACATCACTGTGCAGTGGCAGGCGGGAGATTTCCTCTGCAGGCTGCTGATGTTCATGAAACTGGTGGCGATGTACTCCTGCGCCTTTGTAACTGTTGTCATTAGCTTGGATAGACAGTCTGCCATTCTCAATCCTTTGGGCATCAGTGAGGCGAAAAGGAAAAGCAAAATCATGTTGACTGTGGCCTGGACGATGAGTGTAATCCTCTCGCTCCCTCAGGTAAGAATAACACATAAAGCACACAGGAAACATGGAAAACACACACCCACAAAAAACCCTCTACAAACTGCACTCATATGAAGCTTAGTTGTGTTGTACACTTCAAAAAGCTTATATAAACACTGCCAATTGTATATCCTCCAGGAATCCATCTTGTTAGTTTGCTGAAAATCAAGGTGAAGGTTAATTCAATAATTGGTTATGTCTACAGGAAACATGATGAAACGAGGGGTTATGTATGGTAACCCTTGTTATATAAGCACAGACGGAGCCCTCTACTGGACTCTATGGGTACTACCCCTTGATCATATAATGCAAGCATTCATCCACTGAGACTTCCATAAACGTAGCCGGCCCCGGGGCGGGCCTACCTGAATGCGCGCGCATCTCACCGTATAAAAGGAGGCCTCGCCTCCTGACTGTCATCCTACACCTCTCTTCAGCGAGCGGCATAGGACAGACAGTGCCCCGAGTAGAGGGCTCCGCCTGTGCTTATATAACAAGGGTTACCATACGTAACCCCTCGTTATATCTCTCACAGGCCCTCTACTGGACTCTATGGGTACAGTGGGCGGAGCCCCGATGTATACACGCGCTGTCGTCCAACAACACCGTTCCATCCCACTGCCCCTGACCGGCTTTCTGGTTAGCAGCCGCTGCACCGCACCCTCCTTTACCTCGGTTTGTGACCGTGGAGAAGTCTGGGCCGCGGCTGACAGAGCACACTCCGACACGCTTACCTCGCGAAAAGTGTGCTCGGAAAACAGTGCTGAGGGCTCCCCCCCTCCGCCCATATAGGCAGACGGAGAGAGCCCCCAGCCCCGTATGGGCTCACTGTGCACCACCTCTCCCGAGTCCCCAAGGAGCACGGGGAGAGTGCTCAGGAGAGAGAAATGCCCCATGTCCCCCACACTCAGATACTGACCCCGTGCAGAGTGTGTGTGGACTATAGTGTGGAGGGCTCTCCCCTCCTACCCTTAGGCAGGCGAGGAGAGCCCTCCAGCCCTGTATGGGCCCAGCGCGCACTACGTCCCCCGGGACCCTCCAGGGCGGCTTACTGGCCTCGGTGGCAGCGGTGGGGGGAGCGGTAGGCCCACACGCTCCGTCGCCAGGGTCATCACCGCCGGGAAGTCCAGACGCGTAGACCTGTGTGCTGGACCCTCCTGGCCGCCGGACCCGAAAGTACCAGACAACGAGGCGTCCTCGTCGTCTTCCTCCTCCGTGAACGTGGCCACCCGGCCCCTCGGGATGGCGAACATGAATGGCACCTCGTCATCCTGTTCACCCATCTCCACCACCTTGAGGTCCGGAAATGATCCCCACGATGTCGGCGGCTTAGCCGAGGGAACATCCGGCAGGCGTTGCAGGCTGGCGACTGGCTTAGGCCGTCCTCTGCGTGGTCCGGCCCCAGGCCGGTGCGGATCAGCCCCCGCGATCAGGCCAGTGCATGTCGGACAGGCCCGGTGTTCGAGGAGTGGTGAGTCCATGTTTTTTCTTTTCCTTTCTCGTTTACTGCTCAGGTTGTTTAATCCTGCTCGCTGAAGAGAAAAGGATGACAGTCATGAGGCGAGGCCTCCTTTTATACGGTGAGATGCACCCGCATTCAGGTAGGCCCGCCCCGGACCCGGCTACGTTTATGGAAGTCTCAGTGGATGAATGCTTGCATGATATGATCAAGGGGTAGTACCCATAGAGTCCAGTAGAGGGTGGAGCCTGTGAGAGATATAACAACATTCAGGCAATCAAGCAGTGGCGGCCGGCCCATAGGGGCGCTAGGGGCGCCGCCCCCCCTCTTCCCACATTAAAAATAAAAAAAATAAAAAAATATATATTTAAAAAATATATTTTTTATTTTTATTTTTATTTTTAATAAACAAGGTAAATATTATATAATTGGTATCAGTAAAATGTATAATCTACAATAAAATCTCGTTTAAAATTGTGTTACGATGTCTAAAGTTACTGGTAAGTCACATGTTTCCTGCCTGGCCTTGCCCGTGTATCATTACTCCCTCTCGTCTGGGCGCTATGCACAGCGCCCAGATGAGAGTGCAGCAAGTGCAGCAGAAGCCAACTGTTGCTATCTTTAAACTATGCCGCCGAAACATAATTTCAGCCAATCAGCGTCGTCAAATCTGATAGTCACAGGGCTCCTACGTGAGCGCCCGGTGCAGTCTGTGAGTTGTTTGGACTCGTATCCAAGGAGACAAAACAGGAAGCTGTCATACACTCTGGAAGCTACCATTAGCAGCTAATGAAAACTCAGTTTTTGACATAAAAATGGAATTATGGATCATCAATCATTTTTCAAAGTGACAGACACATTGGATTAACCTATGGATTAACCTTCAGCTGCGTTTTTCTCGTTTTTGATCAGAATTGTTATTCTGCAAAAGGTGAGCATATCTCCATGTTTTGCTACCTCAAGCTACGTTGTGTGATGTCTGTATTTGCTTCCCCTGTCGCGAGTTCTGATCGCTCAGTGATGATACTTATATTTCTAGAATTTGTGGAATCTCAGTTTGTAAGCTTGTTTGTGCATATCCGATAAGTATATCGATTGATTTATACCTAGAGTGCGTTTGCATCTTTTCGCTCAGGGCTCATTTAGACGCTTCTTGTGAGACTTGTGTTTTGTTTCGGTAAACATGGTTCATATCATCAGTTAGATGCGTTTCCTCTGAGTAGGACACATGAATAGTTTATTACATTTTAAGAAGCCCTGAGACACAGTTTCGTGAGAAAAAAAACGGGGGGAAAAAGCCCCTTAACAGGTTAAATGGGAATTAAATCAGTGTTCCCAAAGCCCCGGTGTTCTGCAGTTTGTGTGGGCATACTGTACTGTTGCACAGTTTATGCTGTAGAAACTATGTCCAGGACAAGGTGTTTGGAAGTTTTGGAAGATTCATAGCTCTAACCACACTGAAGTTATGGAGGTATTGATCAGTCTTCTCATATTTTTAAGCCTCAAATTGTCCTTCCCCCCCTCTAACATCACCAGAAGTAATCATTTAAGGGGTCTTTTCTCAAAAAAAATTACCGGGGGAGCATCCCCCAGGACCCCCCTAGTATTGTTTGATCACCATTTCCACAGCCCCACCTAAAATATTTTCCACCAGCCGCCAGCTGCCATTACCTTGATTGAATCAAGGTAATTAAAAAACGTATTTGACATATACATCTGGAGGTCAATCTGCACTGTAGCTTGTAATGCATTTTGCAGAAAACTAAATGAACACACATCTAAACATTTGCTACCTGAAAACACCTCTGCACCTTTCCTACACCTGTTGTACTCATTACATTAAGTGTTGTAAAATGTTGTGCAATGTTTCGCAATACTTAAAGGTATAATATGCAGCATTTTCTTCAGAAAAACAATGAACTTCATTACTAATGACCCAATAGAAGTGTGTGGTGGTGTCTGCAGACAACCCAAACTTTTGTATTTGCCCTTTTATTTTGAATGTCACAGCCATGATCAGAAATGCATGTTTTATTCCCAGTGGAATAAAACATGCATTTTTTCATTGCTTTTTTCTTAATGTTATCCCCCTCTTCAACAACTCTTTAGCCTACTCAACCACTGCTGCTTTATTTTTCTCTCTCACCATTGAGCCGGGGACAACTCTGTATGCTACATGATACCTTTAACATTAATATTGATATGATTTGATGCACATACAAGCACAAGGTCCTGGTCACTGGTTGTTTGAATAGTATGAGAAATTCATAAAAGTCCTTTAGAATTAGTTTTAACTACTGAAAATCAATGAGGTTGGGGCTTGCTTCTATCAAATTGGATTTCTATTCAGGTAGCATGATGTCAAGGATCCCTGACCCGAGAGGCTGCAGGAGATTTGCTAATAGGAATGCTTATCAAGTATCTTATCAGGAGTAAAATCACTTTCATATTTCATAACACCAGCTATGTGAGCACACTGGGATGAAAGAAGTCAAGATCTGTCTACTAAACGTATAGACTCTGTTATTAAAATGTGCATTTAATTAGGGACAGGCCAAAGCTTCACTGAGGACACATAGGTCAAATCCGCTCCTGTTGATCTCAGAGCTCTGGCTGGCTCGTAACAGTGAAGCATCTCTGACATGTATTTTGGTCCCAGTCCATTAAAGGTGGGGTAGGTAATTTTGGAGAAACCAGCTCGAGTGCGCTAGAATTTGAAAATACACAGCCGGAAAAAATCTGCCCTTTCCTTACAGAGCCCCTCCTCCAACACACACAAACGCGCACATGACCAATGAGGGCACGAGATAAGTTTGTGCACAGATGGAAGGCTGACAGGCAGGTAGGCCATCCAGTTATTTTAGCCGGGCCGGCTAAAATGATTGGTTGTGCTTTTTACAGTACTACGGCTTCCACAGATGAAATGTTTGTATGGATTTTTTGTCAAAGCACTTAAAGGTAGGGTAGGTAAGTTTGAGAAACCGGCTCGAGATACACTTTTTGTTATATTCCACGGAATGCTCTTAATATCCCGATAGCAATGAATATCTTAAAGTGGACCTATCATGCTATATTTGAATAATATATTGTAGGGCCATACCTATATAAGGTATATTAATACGTTTTCTTTTTCAAAATACCAAACAGATCATGCATTTTAGCCATGCCTCATTTCGCTCTATTTTGCTCTCCTCCACCCTGTCTTTGCATGCGCTGCAGCTGACCACGCCCCCCTGCAAAGGAGGGGGCCGAGTTACGAGCGTCATGTTACCATGCTGTTACCATGCTGTTACCATGTCACGGCAACCTCTCATTCCCCTGATAGGTGGAGAGTTGGCCATATACTGTAGGCGGAGCTCCTCCGTCCTGACGTCAGAGAAATGTTCAAATCTGTATCAGTCTGTATCAGATCCGTTGCAGCCCCGTTTTTAGAGATTTGGGTATGGAGGAAAAGAGAGAGGGTTGTGTTTTCTGACACTTGGTGAGTTCCCTGGAACGCCGGGGACACATATTCATGTATAAAAGATGTACAAAA